ACTACAATCCAGAAATGGAGGGCACATCTGCAAGAGATTTTTCTGCTTGCTTTAAAGTAGGTAAATCCTCTTCTAGTCCAGACCTCTCAGGTAGGAAGCCACACACCTTTGATCCAGATCTTAAGGTGGGAAGACATACTTCTTTGATCCCAATCTTATGGCTGGAAGTCACTTGCTTCTAATTCAAATCTAAGGCAGGGAGACATGCCTTTAATATAGGCATACCTTCTTCTGGAAGTCTATATATAAGGACATAGAAAAAGGAAGCTTTTGCTCTTTGCCTGCTTGTCCTCACCTTGATAGCACATTCATTCCTTAACTGGCATTGCAGCCTACTTCTTTGGGATTCCAGCATATTCAAAAGACCAGCTGAGACACCCAGACTTGTGGGACTGAGCAGCTACTAGATTCTTGGACTTTTCATTCACAGCTAGCTATTGTTGGATTAGCTGGACTGCAGCCCGATTGTTTTACTTTTAATAGGAGATCTGTCTATCCAACCACCTATTCCTACATCGATCAAACTACCCATAATCTCTCTTGTTAGAAAGACAACAAATATTTGGTTTCTCTATGAAACGTTAATATCATCACTCTGTTTCCTAAAATGGAAAGAGAGGTAAAACAATTCTACTTTTGCCTTCTAGTGAAGGAAGAATTCTACTTCAGATCTTTTTATACTCTGGAGTATATAGTTCCTACAATGGCCCTGATAATAAGACAGTCCACTACATGTAGAAAATGCCAGGTGATAGAGATTAGTGAATGCCTTCTGAAACAAAGCCCTTCATTGGAAATTCCTACTGCTTTTAAGGCTAAGAAAAGAGCCTTTAAAAATGTACACTTACCACCTTAGTGTGTGAGAGGATGAGGGAGACAGCTCAAGATACCCCCTGGTGGCCATACCCAAACATTTCCAAAGAGCAGATTCTCTACTTTGGACAGGAGGAACCACAGCAAGATACCACCAAGCTTCAGACGGCCAGCAGCAACTTCAGTGTCATCAGTCATAGCCAGTTATCAATAATTTGAAAATTCTAGTTTTTTAAAACCCAAATCTTCTTCTATCTTATATATGTGTTTTACTTCTAATAGGAAATCTGTCTATCCACCCATCCATCCCTATATTCATCAATCTACCCATCATCTCTCCTATAAGAAGCATAATAAATATCTGGCTTCTCTATGAAAGGTTAGCACCATCACTGTTTCCTAAAACAGAAAAGGGAGGAGGACAAAGCATGTCAAGTTATCAGGAAGAAGTTCCTTGAACTATATTTATAATTTTTTTCCTAATTAGATTATTTCAAAATTAAAAATAAAAGATTATGATTAAACTGTCAGATCACATTTACAATAGTTTTTGTTCTATTTGTGGAATATTCCTTTATACTGTGTGAATATATGTCACTATGGTTGGTTTAATAAACAAGTTGACTGGCCAATAGCTGAATAGGATAAGGTTAGGTGGGAGAACAAAACTGCGAATTCTGGGTGAAGGTCAGAGTAAGGAGTTGTCAGCAGACATAGGGAGAAATAAGATGGGCATGCCATACTGAGAAAATGTACCAAGAAATATGCCAATTCTATTATCCCCAGCACCTAAAGATTAATTCTTATCCTGTTTATATGATATATAATATATGATGTATGATATGTATCTATACGTACATGTACACACATATAATATGTTTGGAAGACACTATCAGGGGTGTGACAAACATTACTGATTTGATGGTTAATATGTTTGTGGACTTCAACAGAAGCCAAAATAGAAAAGGGATTGATTTGCAAGCAGAAAAATTTACATCTGGAATTAAATGCAACAGAAAATGGAATGCAATGAATGGAGTATATAATTTGAATGAGGTTATGCCACTTGGGGTGATAATGTTCCCCCCAAGAGCCATAGACTATCAAAACACCCAATATTAGGCATGAGAAACCTTCTTTTGAGTTGCTGGTAAGGGGAGTTCAAGAGACCCCAATGTAGACGGGGTTTCTTTTCTGGCCTGGTCCCACAGCTGCTTTGCCCCAAATAAACACACAGAGATTTATTTATAAACTGTTTGGCTGATAGCTTAGGCTTCTTACTGGCTAGCTCTCTTTCAATTATTAACCCATAACTATTAATCTATCTATTTCTGCATGGCCTTATCTTACCAGAAAAGGCTCCACCATGTTACTCCTTCAGCAGCTACATGGCATCTCTCCCTCAAACTCTCTCTGCATCCTCTCCCCAGAATTCTCCTTGTTTCCTCGCCTGCCTATACTTCCCGCCTGGCTACTGGCCAATCAGTGTTTCATTCATCAACCAATAAGAGAAACATATATTCAGAAGGACATCCCCCATCACCCCAAAACACTACAGCGTATTGTTATTGCTCTTGGTTGCCTCCTAGAAGTTGAAGGTAGTTCCACATACATGACTCAAAGGAATGGAGCTGGATATAACACAAAAGCCTCCTCCCTGAGGACTAGCTTTCATAGTCCTGGAAGGTGCTATGTGAGCTGCCAAGAAAAGAAAGTAATCAGGAGTTCTATCCAGTTATGATACTATGAACCACACAATGACTAGTACATTAAGAAATCCCTAAAGATGTAACAATGGCACCTATATCTTGGTGGTAACCATAACTGTCTAATAGGATTTAAGGCCCACTCAACAGTAGGGGACTCTTGCTTGGTACTGGAAACATCCAGCCCACTGCCTGTGGCTAGTGAGGTCCTAGATCTTAGAGGAGAATTTACTACTGCCATTTTCTTAAACCAGTACAATTTCTAACTACATTCTGAATACTCCAGTGAATTCCAACACCACATATAAAGCTTGAGTAATCTCAAGTTAATATCCAGAGATCTTTCGATCTTTCGATTGGATCTATAAGGAAATATAAGAATCTTTGGATTCTTTTTAAAACTTTAGTGAGAGTAATGTTTACAATGCTTCTGGTAAAATGTCTACTGAGTTCCTATCTCCTAGACTTATACAAGATGAGATTTGATGGTCAAATCTTCCCTAATAAAGTGAGAAATCAAGCTTTAAGCTGAAATTTATATGTTAGTTGCGACAGAAAAAATGTTGTCAATAACCTCAGTTACTCAAAAAAAGGAACTACACTTTTAAGTTATGGTATGTTAGCAGTAACAATACCTGATAACTTTTATTTCCATTTCTTTATTTTAGCATACACTAATTGAACAGGACAACTGTTTTCATTATTATAGTTCATACATTTAAATAACTTTCTTTGATTATATTCCTTCCTTTGGTCCCTGCTCCACCCTCCTATTTGTTCTCTTCTTCTTCTCAAACACTCTTCCTTCTACCTTAATGTTTTATTTTTAAAATCTAGATTCCACATATACAGAACATGAGACAGTCTTTCTACATCTAGCTTATCTGGCTTAACATGAATATTTCCAGTTCATGCATTGTTTTGATAAAGGACATAGTTTTATTCTTGATGGTTGAATAAAACTCCCTTTAGTTGGTTAGTGTCTTTATAATAAGCATGCTTATTATATTCCTTGTATATATCACTCAGAATGGCTCATCATTTGATTGACTTTAGAGGATATAAACACATAATTGACTAGAACTTACTAGACAGAGGTTCCCTTTGTGGCATAGGCTAGCTTCAAACTATCTATCTAAACAAGAATGACCTTGAACTTCTGATCATCTCACCTCTACTTCCTGAGTGCTTCAATTACAGATACAGACCACCAATGTCTGGTTTAAGAAGTGCTAGTGACAGCATGGGACTGATCCAGACCCCAGGAACATGGGTTTCAGTGAGGAAACCTCGGAAATCTATGGGACCTCCTGTAGAAGTTCAGTACTTATCCCTAGCATAAGTGTGGACTTTAGGAGCCCATTCCACATAGAGGGATACTCCCTGAGCCAAGACACATGTGGGTGGGCCTAGGTCCTATCCCAAAGGAAATGACTCCTTTTTTTTCAGGTTGTGTTAGCTGATTTTGTTTTTTAAATAAAAAAAAAAAAAGGCAAAAAAATATAAAAAATTTTAAAGGAATAAAAAAAAAAAAAAAAAAAAAAGAAGAAGTGCCATCGAATCAAATCCAGGATTTTGAGCATGCTAAGCAAGCACTCTATCAACTGAGATACATCTCCAGTTCACAAGAGACTTGGTGAAAAGTGAGGCCAAACTAGCCTCCCATACCACTAAAAACCAATCTGCCATTTGAAATCCTTTTGAATTAGTAAATGGATTCTTAAAGCAGTTCCACTTATTTATCTTTAAAATAGTATGCATCTAGTTTTAAAAATATTTTTTAAGTGTAAAAAGCTTTAATTGTGTATGAGTTTTGTCTGCATATATGTTTGTGTAATGTAAGTGCCTGGTGCTCTCAGAGGCCAGAAGAGGGTGTTGGATGCCCTGGGACTAGAGTTATAGACCATTATAAGCCATTATGTGGCTCTGGGGATTGAATCTGGGTTCTCTGCAAGAGCGGTCAATGATCTTAACCACCAAGTCATCTCTCATGCTCCTATCTAGATTTTTTTAAAAAAGATTTTATTTGTTGGTGTGTGTGTGTGTGTGTGTGTGTGTGTGTGTGTGTGTGTGTATGTATGTGTGTGTGCGCCATACCACATGTGTGTGGGTGCCCACAGAGAACAGAAAAATGCCTTAGATACCCTGGAGCTGAAATTACAGGTAGCTGTGAGCTACCCCTTGGGTGCTAGAAATTGAACTTGGGTCCTCTAGAAGAGCAACAAACACTGAGCCATCTCTCCAACCCTGTTTGTTTGCTTTTGAGATAGAATCTGGCTAAGTAGCCCATTGATCTGTTTCAGCCTCCTGAGTGCTGAGATTTACAGATGGGAGTCACTGCATAAAGCAGCAGTTCCTTTTTTTTTAAGTATCCATGGACCATTTTGTAAAACCAGGACAAACTAATTCAGCAAGACTAAAAAACACTTAGGCAAAAGATATAACAACATAAACGCCATAAGATGAAATGAACAAACATACCTCCTGGGCTGTGACCGGCATTCCTCCTCCCCACTGTCAGCCTCCTGTATAAACAGAAATTGAAAAAAATTAAAATGGTCTCATCACTAACCCTTTTATGCAGAGATAAGTCATCCATATTGATCTGCATTTAAACTAAGTTTTCTTCATAAAAGATGATTTACTCTAAATGAAGAGACTGACAACACTAAAATATATTCCTGAAAGAAATATCAGCAGCAGTTTACAAACAAATTTCACTGAAAACAAAGTGTTACTCATTAAAATAATTACCTCTGAACACCAATTACATTCCATATTGTTATGCAACTTTAAAATTAGTACTCATCATATTTCCATTAACAAACATTATCAAAATGACCTATGATTCTGATCCACAAAGAGCAACCTAAACAATGTGCAAACATTCCAAGTGCTTATGGAAAATCACCAGTAACATCAACATGATGGCTACCCAGCAGGAGGAAAAGGGTCCCATGTCAGGTAAAAGAGTCAGAGATCCCACCCCCCTTTACTGCCACTAAATACCAAGAACACCAAGCTACACAATAATAAAGTATATGCAGAGGACCTAGCTCAGACCCACACAGGGTCCATGTTTGTAGCTTCAGTTTCTGTGAGGCCCTATGAGCCCTGCTTAGTTGATTCTGTGTCATGGACAACTCTTACTGTTTATTCCTATGTTATTCTTAATATTGATTTTAATTTAATCATTGCTATTGTTTTTGCTAAAGAAAGAACACTGAAGAGATTCTATTCCTAGATGGAGGTGTCCTAGTGCTGTCCTTTGCTGTAGAATAGGTTTTAGGATCAGAAGATACAGTCTTTAAGAACTCATAAAAAGAAGGTGTTAAAATGAAAAAGAACTGAATGGAAAAATACACAGAGCCTGGAAAGCTTACAAAAATGAGAATTAAGGGTTCACTGTAGTGGCACATACCCTTTATCTTAGCACTCAGGAGGCAGAGGCAGGTGGGTCTTCAGACCTTGCTAGCCAGTCTAGAAAACCAGTAGGCTTCAGGTTCAACAGGGGACTCAGTCTCAGAACAAAGTGGAGAAGTGATAAAGGAGGATTCCTACATCAAATTCTGCCCACCACACACAGGTACACTTGGACTTGCATGTACATATGCATGAGCACACAGAAACACACAGACACATACACATGAACAAGGACACATGATGTGCCCAAAGAATTTGATAGACATGATTTCTTGTGAAATAATTTAATAAATAGTGCTTCATTATCATTACTGCTTAAATATCTCTCAAATTCTGATGTATTCCTCTCACATTTTTATTATATGAAATATATAATGAAGACTACTTTAACATATTTAAGTAATGGAGTAAAGTAGTAAAATGAACACTATTCTACTTAAGAGCCAGAATAGTATCCAATACCTTGTATCCTTATTTATTTCTGATTTCTGTCTGTGTTCATGATGCAACTATTATGCTAAAGTTTATAATACTCTTATTTTCCACCTAATTTTATTGTAAGAATATCTCAAATACATAGAAAAGTTAAAATGCCATAAAGTAAACCTCTATATCCACCATTTAGATTTTATCATTAACATTTTCCTCTGTTTCATCATCTATCTATTCATTCTGCCCATCCATCAACCTATTCTTTTTCTTTTCACTTTTATTGAGATACAGTCTTGCTCTATAGTTCAGACTGGCCTAGAAGGCACAGATATCCTCTTATTTCAGCTAGTCTCAAATGCTGAGGTTACAGGTGTGAGTCACCACATCCAACCCGATGGTTGGAGGAAAGTCTTGAAGGAAAGCTGCTTTTTCTATTGAGCCATCTTGCTGGTTCATGACTATATTCTTAATGTATCATTTACATTGACTGTCTAATGGCTTCAAATTTTATTACAATGTATGTATGCTTGCCAATAAGTATTTGTTTGCTTTTTAAGAATGTGGGGATCAGGCCTAGGGCTTTGAACATGCTGGGCATTTGCTCTTTAAAAACTAACTATCATTTCCATTAGATTCATATTACTTATTACATATAGCTTCACCTCATGTATTTTTACTGGGAAATTCATAGGTTCATTTATGTAATTATGTCAAAATTTATTAATTCTTAGACTAGATTATTTACAATTTTTTGACAACGTAACATTGCTAGCCATATTCTTCCACTTTCTTCTAGTCTATATGCAGAAGAGTCAACAGAATATATACCAACAAGTGAAGCTATTCAGTTATAAGATAAAGATTCAACTTTAGAAAAGAACACCAAGTGGTTGTGCTGACTTGTTTCTACAAGGAAGGAGTAGGATCTTAATGAGTTGAACTAAGTCCAAGCTAACAGTAGAATCACTGATTCTTTTTTTTGTTTTTTGCTGATCTCCAATTTCTGCCAGTCTATTAGATCGTATTCTGATCTTAATTTGCTTTGCTTTGATGTTAATTAAAAAAGTTACATTCATACATGTGCTGTTATTGTTTCCACATCTTTGCCTTCATTTCTAAAATGAGTGCCCCCAAAGAGAAATAATTAAATCATTTTCAGCTCTTTGGAGTTTTCTCTTTATGAGAATATGTAAAGAGCCGGTGTTGGTGGCACACGCCTTTAATACCAGCACTCGGGAGGCAGAAGCAGACGGATCTCTGTGAGTTCGAGACCAGCCTGGTCTACAAGAGCTAATAACCCCGTTCTGAAAAAAAAAAAAAAAAAAAAAAAAAAAAAAAAAAAAAAGAATATGTAAAGAATATGAAAAGCAAAAAAATCTTTGATGTTTCCTTATAAAACACACATAGCTCAAATCATCTATGTCTATAGAGGCTAACTACTATTTATTAAGCACTAGTATGGATTAGGTTCTTCATATGTCATTTCATTTACTGTATACTGCAACCTCATGGGACATGTACAAAGCTAGTCAGTAGTAAAGTCATCATTCAAATTCAGTTTTATCTTTCCATTATAACTAGTTGTCTGTAACCTAAGAATCTGACCTTATATCCCAAGATGGATGGGAAAGAGCTAGCTAGGAAAGAAAATTTATACTTTTCCATGCTTACAATAAAAAATACCCCTTGTATCTTTATGACATCCAAGAGTGGCAAATATTTCTGTCACAAAAGGAGTAAGACAAAGATATGTTTCAAATGTGAGAACTGCAAAACACAGTAACCTTTCCCCTTAACATTTCAAGAGCTAGGCAAGTGAATTATTTGCTTCTCCCTCAGTGTACTTAGGAAAAAATTATAAAGCAACCACAAAAAACTTTGTATATCAAAGCATTGAAGGTCTTATGGTAAAATAAATGGCTAAAGTATACAATTAAGTTTATTTCTGCAAAATTCACTGCCTGAAATGCAAGCTACAACAATGCTTATTCAATAAGGTAACTACTAGGCAATGCAGTTTCTAATAGTAGCATCCAAAAAGCAGCCAGAAGCAGAACAGTTACTATTCTATCCTAACAAGCATAAGCATCAGATTTAACCACCTACTTTGTCACATAACAGTCATCATGTTACTGAAAAATGCCAAATAACCTACTTGTTCTGAACATTAGAAATTCCAGAGGCTGGAAGGAAGAGTACTCGTTGCTCTGGCATAGACCGTGGTTTGGTTCCTAGAACCCACATGGTGGCTCACAATCATCTGTTACTCCAGTTTCAGAGACCCTCTTCTGACCTCTGAAGGTACCAGACACACATGTGATATACATATATACAAATATGTAGGCAAAAATACTCATATACATAAAATAATAAATAAATCTAAATCTAAAAATATTTTTTTTAAATACCCGGAGAAAAGTATAGGGATTACTTTTAGTTCTGTAGTGGGTATAATAATTTCTGTTACAGAAGAAATGATCAACACACACACACACACACACACACTACACATGCGCTCATGTCTTTTTATTTCCAGAGCCCTACTGTTAAACAGATTTTATTTAAAATGTATGATTATTTCTTGATAGAAAAAAAAACTGACCAAGAATATGGTAGGTGAGCCTAGATGTTCATTTAACCTCAAGATATTCAGGAAACATTAAGTATTGATTGAAAGACTGATGCATTCTTACTAACCCGTTTAACACTTGCACATAAAAATAGGTAACTGTGATGGTTGATATCCATTGTTACTTGAGTGCCTGACTGGATTTAGAATCATCTAGGAGACACATTTTGGGGCATTTCTGCGACAGCATTTATAGAGATAATTAATGAGGAAGCACTCAACTTAAATGGGGCAGCGCCAGCCCATGGGGTGGGAAGACTGAATAAAAGAGGAAAGCTGAGAATTCCTGATGAGCATCAGCATTTGTCTCTTTACTTCCTGGCTAGACAGGAAGCTGTTTAAGTTCCTGCCACTTCAGAGCCACCACACCTTCCCCACCATGACGGACCGATTGTATCCCCTGAACACTGTTGCTTCCTGGCAGGTATTTGACCACAGCAATGAGAAAACTAACTGACACAGTCTGAGAAAAGTATATGCACTCAAGTTTCATTTGCAGAGATGCAGGCTGTGAAAAACAATGGGTTAGTGAGAGTGTAAGCAAGTTTTTACCAATTGCTTAAACATTCCACATGCTCTAATAGTGTATTCATTTATCAGTCTTGGGACTTGCATGTGCTCTTATAGCATCACGGGTGGTCCTTCTCCCCTGTTGTATATTCTTCACTAGTCTTCAAAGTTGGTTTCAAATGCCAGACATTTATGATATTTCTTCTATTACCTGGCAATATGTTTCCTTCTAATCCTATAAATTAATTATATATCTTTATTGTAATAACCACCCAGGTCTGTTTCTGGGTTAGGAATGGGTTCTTGATTTATCTCTCACCTTTAAACTATAAGGTTTTCTTTCTTTTTTTTTTAAGTTCAAGCACCATGTATAACACCTGTTAAGCACAATGCCCTATGTACAGATGGGACTGGAGGAGGAGACAAATCAAGTGATTGGAGTGGCTAACTAATTAGATTTATTAGAAACCAACTGGCTATGCATTCTCAGCAAGTGAACACTATGTGTTAGCAACATTTTAGCTTTAACAA